AATGCTTCAATACTAATCAAACTTGGCACAAATGTTGACTGGACCATTGCCTTTGTAACGACATGCACAGTCTTAAATTTCCTGTTACCATGGCAACGAGGGGACATCTCAAAATGTCAAAAATCACTATTTTGCCTCGATTTTTTCCATCAAAATTTATTTCAAAGTGCTGCAACTTCTCAGGGGATTGAGATAGAGTCAAAGGCTTTTCAGCGTTGGTTACACGTTACATTATGATCGACCTGGGGTCATTTTTAGCCTCTCACAAGTCCAAAATTTTCTTGGCGATGAGGGTGACTCCGCCCCCATTCAAACCCCCTAACAGAAGGGGGCACATCCCCCTTCTGGCAACCCCCTGATGTATCTTTTGGAGGGGGGGTGGGGGCGGCGCCGAAAAAGTGCTCAATTTTTTTAGCAACATTTCTCAAACGAAAACATGTGTTTGGGGCCCAAATAGGACATTTTTTCACGTTGTTTCGCGTATATATGAGGTAAAGGGTTAAAGCGACTTATTAAAAAATTCCTGAAATAATTTTTTGATTTTTTTTCTTTAAACGTCCTTTAAAATGTATACTTAGTCAAAATAACTAAAAAAATTAGGGGGTCACCGACTCAAATTTTTCGGTACACGTGATTTTATTTCCCCCACCCCATGAGTAATTTTGTAACGAAATTCGACGTATGCAGATACGTTTGAGACTTCAAAGTGCGGCAATAATGTTCAGCTTATCAGGAAAATTGTTCTAGAGTTTTACGTTTACATATAAAACAACAATATTCCATTGCAAATTCTTAAAATTTGAAATGAGACCTTACGATGAAAAAGCATATTTATATTTAAAATCTTAGCCTGGTATTTAGGCGTTGATATTTTGCTTATTCGCTTAAAATTTAGGCGTTGATATTTTGCTTATTCGCTTAAAATACGCGTCATTTTCCTACGAGCACGTCACAATTTCTGATTGATATATACTCTATTTTTTAACAGAACCCAGGCAAGTAAAGTCTAAATACAGGTACATTTCAATATAACGTGTTACTTGAGCAAAAAGGAACTGCCAGCAGTGTACGAAACTTGCAAGATATGTAACAAAAGTTGTCTAATTAACTATCATGGGCTTGGTCGAAGTACAATATTATCGCATTTCCATTTTGTGACGTTTATGTTCGCTGAAAAAAATGTACCAAAAACAAACGATTATTTTTCTTTTTTTTTTCAAGCATGATGAATAACTTCATAAGGAATCGTGAACAGACGCATGTAAAGAAAATGACGACAGGCGTTCAACGGCAACGCGTACTCTGCGCAAACAAATACACATTGAGAGTTATCATTGCAGTGTAACTTTTTGATATTTTAATACAGTAAGATTAATTAAACTTGAATCGAGAAATAAGCCATAAGGAACAAAAAGCAGCTATATATGTTTATGTAAATTTAGAAATTTACGGAAAATAAAACATAAATTAATACGTAGTCTACAAGAAATTCTGCAAATCTATGCATTTTTGCATTACCCACACTATGAGTGATATACTGTGAGTGATATGTATTTAATTTCACCTATTAAAAACCAGAATTTGAATTTCACTTGGAATCAAAAATTATCGCAACAATTTGACAGAGTATATGCTAAATAATTGGCGAAATATTGACATATCAAAATATACGGTTCATAAATGAAATTTAGTCAATTATATTAGGGTGAAACAACAGTCATGTTTGAAACGTTAGCTCAGTGGGTGTTGGATAACAGATGTAGCACTTTGATTCTACAAGTAATAAACATCTTTAATACAAATTTTCTCGTTTTGGTTATCATTTTAGAACATCATAATGTAAAAAATAACGATTAATTGAGGATTCACCATAAACGCTGTATACAAAACATTACTATCAAATCGGCCTTTGCAAAAATTCATTATTCACTGTAGAGCCAAATTTATGGTAGAATTTATTTTGAACAGGAAAATTTAGAAACAGTACTTTCAACATGAAATAGAATGAAACGCTGTAAATACACGTCTGCGGATGTTTAGCAGAACATATACGCGAACCGGCGGTCCTGAGCTAGATACTGAACCTAGGAGTGTTGCGTTGTAAATCTTTATACAAAATAAAGCTTTTTTCAATATTTATTGTCATTTTTTTGTCTGTACATGCTACGGGCACTGTAGAGGATCTGTCGATGTTTTATATGTTCTGTTCACTGACCATTTAATCAGTATGCAACTGACATGTTAATAAAACCAGGAAATATTACATTTTACTCAAAGTTTTACTATTTAATGTTATTCTGACAAATGTCAGATCAGACTATTATTTTTTCCTCTTGTAGAAAGTGGGTAATTTTGAAGTACATCTTTATTCTCTGTTTTATGTACAAAATCTGTATTTACGATAATAAACAAATCATATTTTGGTAATATCTGACCGTGTAATTAAAAAGAATACGTATTTTAGTAAATACGAACTTCATTCTAAAGTTCCTGCATATTACGAGTGTACGGATCACGGTATATTAGTCATATACGTATTGCATTATATCCCGTACATCTAAGTATTCAGATTTCACTTATTTTAACTGTCTATCTAAAAAATACGGAATACGGTACCCTTTATTGTATCCATATATTTTCCGCAGTGGTCATAATGGCGTAAAATGTCGTTAATAGCGGGATTTTGACACAGGGCGGTCGTTTTAATAACATCAAAATAACAAACGCCCCGTGATAGCGTGACTTTTATCCAAAGGGGTGGGGGAAATAAAGTCACGTGTACCGGAAAAATTGAGTCGGTGACCCCCTAATTTTTTTTAATTATTTTGACTTAGTATACATTTTAAAAGACATTTAAAGAAAAAAATCAAAAATTTATTTCAGGAATTTTTAAATAAGCCGCTTTAAAGCCGAAAAATGCGGCTAGACTGAACGTCAAATTTTACACAAAATTGACAGTAATCTTTCCATTTTTCAAACATTTTTCGGCGTAAAACGATAAATTTTATATCAGCTTAAAGGAAAAAATAATTTCCGTCGAATGCTGTAGAATTTAAGATATTTTGTCCGCAAATGGCGTTGAAATACCCGTAACAGTTGCCAAGGAAACGCAACGACGTCATGTTCAAAAACGGGCATTGATGGTCAACTTTGACGCCGTGTGATAAAAAATTGGCTGAAACTATTGAAATAAAATCAACGGAATTTAATCAGAAATATGGTCAACTTTTTGCATGCCAATTTTCAAGACGCTACTCGAAAGTTCGCAAAGTGTCGCGTTCTACCTTAATTTGTTATCAGGAGAAGTTTAAAGTGCAAGAGGTTAATTACAGCATGTGAAAGGTTAAGTCCATGATTATAATTAAAGGCATATTATGATGCCGTTCTTGGTGAATTAGAAAGAGTTCTTTCTATTTTGATTGCATAATCAGTTTTATGTTAAGCATTATACAAAATACAAAATTTTACCAATTCATGTGAAATATTGAATTCTGCTTTTAAAGCTGGTGCTAGGGAGGAGTGGACGGTAACTTGCACCTCCCAGTAGCCTACGATCCATGAACAGGCTCTATTAAACTGAGCCTGCATCATTTTCAATTTTGCCGTGGTGGACTTTCTTTAGGGATTCTGTTTTCCTCTATTTTGTTGTCGCATCATTTGTGCCGTGTGGCGGCTGTAAAAAGTCTCCACGTACATTTAATCAAAGACGTTATAATTTCGAATCTTGAAGATCGTTCCGCGCATTATTGTTGTGAGTGCACGTTTTTTGGTACCTTTAATTCTTTATATTTTGGTGTTTTTTTTCTAGGATAATTATATTGCTTGCTTTTTAATTCTGTCTTTTGACAGCTTATCTGTGATATGCAGGCTTCATAATCTGGCCCCCTTTCAAAATTCTATTTTATTTAGTTTTGCTTAGGTACATGCATTTACTTGGGGATCATGGAATGGCACTAACTTGTCACATTGAAGACTCCATGATAATCGCCGTACGTATGAACACATCTGCGGATGTTACAAAATTCAAAAAAATTCCAAATCATGTGAAATGTTGAATTCTGCTTAAGCCGGTGCAAGGGGGCGTGGACGGAAAACAGGCTAATTTGTTGGATAAAATGTACTGAATTTTATAATCTTTATATAAAATTACTTGTTATATGTCTTTTTATGTTTATTGAAAGCCTTGTTGCAAATAAGATTATCATTTTTATAAATATCTAATATATATAATTTTAAAAATATCTGAAATAACCAAAATTATTCGATTAAATTAAGTAATGAAGATTGGGTATTTATGAAAAAAGCCCTGCAGATTTTGTTCAATTGTTATCACAGAGCTGAAATTTAAGTCTCTGTTGTTATCAATTAATTAAAACACGGATTTATATTACTGTAATATAAATCAGTGATTAAAACAATACTTTTAGGAGTGTATTCTTTTTGCCATTTAAAAAGGAAACATAATCACACACAACAATTGAATATTTTTTATATAGTTTTGATGTTTCATAGGTAAATCTATATCAATTTTGCAAAAATTAGTTTTTGACTCAATTTCTTAGTTTATTTTCTATAACATCCTAAATTTATGTGATCGTCGATCTCATTATTATTGTGACTTATATGTCATAATACATGTAATATATGGTCCTTGGTTGAAAATAAAAGTTATTCTATTCTATTTCTTTCTATTCTATTTGTTTCTATTCTATTTGTTTCGATATTATTATCAATATATCATATACACATAATTGCTATTGTATGGATCTCCAATGTTGAAAGGTCAATTTATATAGATGGTGTATAGATCTGTGTACAGTACTGTAAAACATCTTGTTTACTTTTCTTTTACTGCAAATGAAATCTTTTTGCTATGAAATAGGACTGTCTTTGTGTGAGACTAATGAATTTCGTCATCAAGATTCAAAGATTTCCATACAAACTAAACATGCATTTAATACTTTAGAACCTAAGGATATTTCCGTGATTTCAATATTTATCGGAAAGTTCACTAACTTTTCGGGTTAAAAACCAGTCCAAATATGGCCACTAATGGAAGAAGAAATGCAAGAGGTATGCAAATGCTTTACTTGTAACATATAAGTCTGGTTTATATGCTGTAAATTACGTTAAAATAAAATTACCTTCTAAATTAAACAAAAGCTGTTATTAAATTGAGCATCCTGCCAGTGTTGCACGTCATTAAATGTTGAAATGCAGTGTTATTCGGATAGTGCAATTTCGACTAACAGCAATTGACAGTTAATTTAGAATGTCGCCAAGTTTGATTTGGTTTGCATCTTTGACTTTAACCAAATTCATTTAGAACAAGTCCTGAATCTACATTTATAATGAATAATTATTAAATCATAGATGAAGAACATACAACCATTTTGTCCCCAGTTTTATAATTTAATTTTGACTTAAAATTTTAAATGAATCATTGAATGGTTGAAGTCTATTTACTTCCATTAATGTCAAATCTATGGTGGCTGATTTGGAATGTTTTGTGTGTCGTGATGTCGCTAGCGACAAGATGAAAAGGCGATAACGATTTAGGTTGCGTTGCAGCTATCGACAATGCAACACACAATGTACCAAATCAGCCACCATACAAACCCCTCACGGGAATGTAGACGTAACTCTAGACTTCAGAGGCAGCTATGAGATACAAGGGAATCTGGGAACCAGTCCCTAGCTCTGTTTGAATAGACCTCTTGGTTCTTTTACATGCCTAATGTTTAGCACTGATACATGGAAGGATTACCTGGATTTCTGACAAGTACACCTCTAAGTAGGTGGGAAATACTGAAAATGTCTCTGAAAAATCCAAAGGGTGTCACCCAGGATCGAACCCGGGACCACAGGAGTGATAGTCAGTGGTCTAACCAACTGAGCTATCGCGCCACCTATCGTGTTGAAGTGTCTTAGTCAATTTTTTTGAGATTCTAGCTATTTTATTTTGTCTCTATCAGACAGAGTTAATTATATTGGACAACAAAGACAATACTGATTTTTCAGATAATTCCCGAGCTGGTTTCGAGAAGCGAGAGAAAAGACGTCAAATACGAGCTTTACAAGAAGCTATTGACAGGCATTCGACTGAGGATGTACAGGAAATAGTTCAGGATGAGTTTGATGTTGACTTCCAATACCGCAGTCAGACAGCCTTACAGCTTGCAGTCAAGGAGGGATGTTATGATATTTGTAAGATATTGATACAGAAAGGAGCTAATGTAAATATGGCTGATGCTGAACAGAACAATCTATTAAATATGGCTGCATGGAGAGGTAATAGCTGGAATTAACTAGAAAATGTGTCACTTTGTTTATAATCTGCAATATGTTTCTGTTCAAACATTTTTGTCTTGGTTAAATTTCACCAGCCTATATCTGCCAAAAGCCTATATCTAACCCTAACCCTAACCCTTGACAATATCGTGCTGAAATTTGCTTTCTGCAAAATAAAATATGTATTAATTAACAATGTGAGGTTTTTCAATTTTGTATTGTAAGTTCATGGATTTTGCAGTAAGGCTGCAACAATTTAGATAATCATACAATAAAGATAACCTTCTGTATGGTTCAATTTTGATTATAACCTACTTTATTAAAAAACGTTTGATTTGAATATCTGCATTACACTTTAAATAATGATTTAGAAGTTATTTCAAAATTGATTTCGATGACTTCCTAAAAATTATTTTGCTGTTGGATAAAGTGCTTGTAATTGTATGGTTAATGTTTGCTTTGAATAATAAGTAATTGATAATAAATGACTAGAGGCAGTTTCAATACATTTAAATAAAGTCTAAAACTGCATGTCCAGTGTCTATTCTAGGATTCGAAAAACAGGGGGGATTTTATCGAAAAGTGAGAATTTATTATATTTGTTGATCGTTTTCCTTCTTTCTCTATGTAAAATTTTCCCCCTGCTTTTAATTTTAATCAGTTAATAAACAATTAATAACAAATTGTAATTCAGATCTAATGATCGGATGCAGTGCATTCAGATATATCATAAGTGTTACAATGTTTTATTTATTGAATGATGAACTGAATTTTTCTAAAAATGCCTATCACTTTTTATTTTAGGACATTTAGAAATAGCAGAACTACTGATTGAAAATGGTGCTGATATAGATGATCAAAACATTAATGGATATACCGCAATACACACTTGTGCTTCACAAGGTCAAACAGATGTTCTACAGGTATTGTAGAGAAGGTTGTTACCATTGTTTCTTGGTGTTTATGTGCTCAAATGGTTTTTGTCCAGAGAATCATACAGTTGATAATTTCTGTCTCATTCACTGTACTGACCATTTTTGATAGCTTCTTTATTTATAGACAAATATCTTATTGTATAAGATTTGTTTCAGTAGATTTTGCTAAGTTTGTATGTCCACTCTATGAACCTTAACTGTTGAGTGGACTTTCAGAATTAATGGGCCAGAGTCTTTGAGACAAAAAAATACATTTAATTTTTCTTTTAAGTTGCCTTTGTCAAAGCAATATAGAAGAAGGAAAACCATAGTTTTTTTTTTCACCAGCTTTTTATACATTTTAGTAAATGACCTGTCTGACTGTCCACTCATTTGTACAAGGTTAAGTTATGATGGCAAGTTGGATATATCTTAAGTTCTAACCATATCAAGTAATCTCCCTTTGATGCACCTTTTGTCATTTATAATGCCCACCCTGATCATAGCTCCTATATTAGTACCACTAGGTTAATATCCACAATAGTATTTACTAAACAGTACAACGGCCATAATACTAATAAGGTAACATACCATTATAGTATTTACTTTTTAAACATTTTCTCCTTGATTTTCTTGTGTTTAATTTTATATATGTGGTTATATTTTATAGTTGATTATTTCTCAATTTCATCAAGTAGCATAAAATTATGTTTAATGAAAACTTAAATCAAAATCTTTTAAGTTATTCTGTTGTTATTTTTCTCTCCAGCTTTTGATATCATCAAATGCAGATTTAGATTTAAATAACAGAAATAGCCAGACAGCTTTACATGTGGCCGTGAGAGAGAGAAATTCAGAAATAGTTCAGTTACTTTTACTAGGAGGATGTAAGATGGACAAGATAGATGATAAGAGAAAGACGCCACTCATGTATGCTGCCGAGTTTGGCTTTAATGATGTTGTGCAAATTCTTATAAATGGAGGTACAAACCATTCTTTTCAACTGAAGTTTGTTAGACCTTTGTGTTTTATTGTCATTTCTTGCAGAAAGATTTCAAAAAGTCATCAATATTTTTGTACAATATAAAGCTATATTATACGATTGTTTGTACTCTGTAGTATATCCTTATTTCAAAAAGCCATTGATATTGATGTACAATACAAATCTATATTATTCGATTTTTGTACTCTGTAAAAGTATTTTGATCTTGCCAAAGTGGATTTTGCCAAGTCAAGATTGCACAAGATGGTAATTGCCCATTGTGATCAGACTCATCACAATTCATAATAGACAGTTTAAAGTGCTTATCATTGTTGTTTGATAAGACATTTGATTATAGTGATTTGCACTCAGTTTTAGACCTTTCCCATTAGAACGCCTTAGAATATTAAAATAACAATTGAAAGGTCCAACTTCTTATAATATGTAATACAATTTTGATATAACAGGTGCTAGTATTAATGTTCAGGACAAGATAGGAAGTACAGCATTGTTCCTAGCAGTACAGAATGGACATCTTAATGTTGTACAAACATTGGCTAAAGCAGGAGCCAATGTTAACCTTCCAGTAACTAAAGGTGCAACACCACTCTTAGGTAACATGTATAAATTTTTTGTAATGTTAGATAATAACTAAGTTTGTCGAGCATTTATAACCTTGGTAGAATTTGTTTAATCTAGAATGCTAAATCTTAGAATTTCTAGACATTTCTGCCTCCAAATCAATAGATTTTAGATGGGATATTTGGTCACATTTGTGTTGATCCTGTCTGTACAACTTTAATCTTGGTGGAATGACCTTAAACAATTATTTTATAAGCTAGAGCCGTTTAACATGCATGTGTAAATTTATTAGTATATTTCACATTTAACTGCTCTAAATCATTCTGTCTTATGATACATTTTGTAAGGCTTGTTCTAATATATAATTCTATGAGTGAAAAAGCATAATTTTGACATTTCTGTTTTGCCCTTCTTATTTACATAGAGGAAAATGTCAATAATCTTTGTTATTTTTTATAACAAATGATCTAATTATAGAAGTAGCTGTACCAAAGTGTAGAACACTCAATGAGCAGCATCTAAACAGTTCAGTCAGTATTGAAGTATTGATAGAGGATATTTGTTTGTTTTGCATGTAAGATTGAAGTATATTTCACTAAGTGAACACCAGATGTAATATTTTCACGAGAGGCATAGCCATGAGTAAAGATGAAATAGCTGGTGTTTATGAATGCAATATATTTCAATTCTATATGTAAAACAAATAAATTTTCTTTTTATTTCATACTTTTTAAGTGACTTTTTACTGATTTTTCCGTGTAACGTCGCCCATTCTCCTTCATCACATCATGAAGTCACATCATCAATTTTGAAATATACATGTAGTTCTGTTTAATTCCGCTAACAGTGAAATTATATTTCATAAATTTACTAGTGTTTTATCAGAATATAATCATCTGATATATTACAGTAAAACACAGGAAAGCATGAAATAATATTATATTATGAATGATTTTAGAGAGTATAAGCCAGGATCATACAGATATTGCTGTTTATCTGATTGATGTTAAATGTGATGTCAACCAAACTGACAGACTTCATCAAGCTCCCATACACTCTGCTGTTGCTAAAGGTAAAATACTAGCATCTACAGTACAGTCATACAGCCTTCAATATAAAATTCATGACTGTGTTGTTTTGTTATCAGTGTGTCACTTTCAATTGTTCAAATTATATCCAGAATATTTGTTCTAATTGTCAAAAAATGACCTAAAATTTAAAAGCGTTGCAATGTCGCACAGAGCATAACACAAACATATGCTTTTTAGTGTATTTCTGGGTATATTTCTTAATAATCTTTTGTATATATTTCTGTTTTAGGTGCCCAAGTTGATCTATGTGTGAAATTAAGCTTTTATATTTTTAGGCTTATGAACCTCAGTGGAGTTCCTTTGATATAAATATGATATATATTAAAAATGTAGGTGCCAGTATAGAGACTGGTCATACTGTTTTGATATTTATGCTGGCGCCTGGCTCTGTACTGGTGGCATACACAAGCCATCATCATTTCTTGTACTTGAAGGCTTACATTTACACAGGCACAATACAAATGTACATTGTACTTCTATGTTTACTAATTTTTACAGTGTCACAGTTTTTCCAAGAGGAGTCGGCACAAGCTATTTTTCTTGTAAAGAAACTGGTGGAGGCTGGTTGTGACCTGAATGTAGCAAACGCTGAAGGAGCGAGACCACTGTATCAGTGTGCATGTGGGGGAAGTTTTGGTAAGTGAAATTTCATAGCTTACTTCTATTTAATTCAAGTTTCATGTATTAAAGTTTAAGTATGGACATGCAATATGTCAAAATACTTCAAATATCTCATTGATTTTCCTGACCAATTGATACTATATTATATTCATATATATTGAGCTGGTCAGTGTGATAAAAAATGTACCTATTGTTTAATCAGATGCCTTGATAAGTTAACATAGACCTATAAAACAATTATTTAAAAAAAATATGTTTTTGCTAGATTTACATTAAGGTATAGTCACCATTGGAAATACATATAGGTGACTACCTCCAAAAGAGTGTTAGTAATTTCAATTTTTAGAGGAGAGATCTTTCTAGAGGAAACAGTTAGTTCTTAAAAAAGCAAGTTGTATTATGAGACCTCAGTTTTTGAATTACCTCGGAAAGACTGAAATTTTTGTTGGAGAAGAATGGGCTAAAAATTGTGATCATGGTATTTTAACCCATAACTGCATGAGCATTTTGTGAAAAATGGCTGTTTTCATTGAAAAGCCTCTTGAACACAAGTTCAAATTGCTATGAAACTATAAAAGATGCTTCAATATTCACCAAACTTGGCACAAATGTTGACTGGACCATTGCCTTTGTAATTGCATGCTCAATCTTAAATTTCCTGTTACCATGGCAATGAGGAGACATCTTAAACCTTCCAAAAATCACTATTTTGCGTTGATGTTTACTATCAAAAACTTATTTCAAAGAGCTGCAACTTCTCAATAGATTGAGATAGCGTCAAAGGCCATCCAGCATGGTTACACGTTATCTTCTGATTGACCAGAGACCAATTTTAGTTTTTCACCAGTCCAAAATCTTCTTGGTGATCCTTCAAACCCCTAAGCAGAAGGGGGCAGATCCCCCACTGGCACCTTGTGATGTATCTTTTTAATATGGGACAGCACCGAAAAAAGGTGTCATTTTTTTAAACAACTTTCTCAAACGAAAACAAGTGTTTGGGGTCTAAATAGGAATTTTTCACTTGTGGGGAGGGGCGATGAAAACGTGTGAAAAGATGTCTACATTGTATATGAAGTAATGGGTTAAGTCAGTGTTACAACTAAGCCCCTTTAAGACAGTAGTATGTAGGTGTTCTTTTATTAGAAATGGTTTGCTTTTCAGAAATGGTGCAGTATCTGTTAAGTAAAGGAGTTGACTTGACAGTAAAAACAAAAACAGGGGACACAATTCTGCATGGAGGTGTACATAGTAACAAACCTGAGATAGTGAAAGCTCTGATAGAGGCTGGTACGATTGTTATGATCAGTGAATAAAAACATGTTTTAACTATTGCCCTTAAATTAGATTAGAAGTATATACTTCATGTTTTTTGAGACACAGATATACATGTATTATCATTTTTTTTTATCAAATTTTGAAAGAATTAATAGATAAAACCCTATTTAAACTTTTATCTGATTTTAAATTCCATATGATTTTATTAAAGTGTTTGCAAATGGATGTTGTCTGTTTCTAGAGATGGTGACAAATTTTGTGATGTAACACTGTTTTAATACTTAATTGAGCTAAAACAGGATCTTTTTTTTCACTCTTTACTGTCTGAAGACTACCAGAGTTAATGACATACATCTGCTTCCAGCATTGTCTGGCCAATTTGCTTATGTATATACTTTTAACAGACTTTATACTTTAACTCCTTTAAAATTCCAAATTAAAAGCGAAGCATGTCCATTTTATAAAAATTGTTTAAGGGTTAAGGAAATTTTATAATGCATATTTGTATATTGTTCAA